TATGCTGACCTTGTAAACCACTTAGAGAGGGCTGAAAGCCCTATGAAGCGGTATATAAGTGTTATTCTATTGCTATTGCTATGATTCACTTAACAGGTGTGGCAAGAAAGGTTATAAACTGGGCAAAACTCGCTTAACAAATGCCTCAGTTGGCAATGGGAATTTTGAGCTTAATTGTGGTTGTAAGACAAGGAAGTATTTCAAAATGACCAAGCCAATTTGAATTTCCAGAGAAGGAAAATTTTGATGTTACAACTTCAGGATCACCTCTGAAAAACTAGAATCTAGAACAGAATAGAATAACAGAGTTGGAAGGGACCTTGGAGGTCTTCTAGTCCAACCCCCTGCTTAGGCAGGAAACCCTACACCACTTCAGACAAATGGTTATCCAACATCTTTAAAACTTCCAGTGTTGGGGCATTCACAACTTCTGGAGGAAAGCTGTTCCACTGATGAATTGTTCTAACTGTCAATAAATTTCTCCTCAGTTCTACATTGCTTCTCTCCTTGATTAGTTTCCACTCATTGCTTCTTGTTCTACCCTCAGGTGCCTTGGAAAATAGCTTGACTCCCTCTTCTTTGTGGCAGCCCCTGAGATAGTGGAAGACTGCTATCATGTCTCCCCTAGACTCCCCTAGAATCTAATGGATTTGTGCTGCTTGCTAAAAACAGGTAGCATTTCTTCCATGTTTACAATAATTTTCACCAAAAAAAATGCTGGCCATGCACCATTTGACAAAGGAGACACAATCCCCGAGCAGCATAATGCGCTTAAATGCCCATTATTAGTGACACATCATAAACCAGAGCTAGCTTCATTGACTTTGCTCTTCTGAAGAAAACAAGGCCTTGAATTCATCCCAAATGTGTACATATATTGACAGGGAGATATACAACATATCAAGTGAGTTTTGATGCCTTGTATATTTGAAATTCCAGGGCTTCTCTAATACACTTGGAATATGTTCTTGATTAAGGATTCTCACTTCAAGGATTTGTGAAAATTCAGCACAGATGATGTTTACAGTGATTTTTCGGTTCAGCTTCCTGACGCAGAGATTTCTATGCTGGTATTGGAAGAAGAGGATTCTGATAGATATTTCACCATAGATATTATGTTTTTTACTTTCACAAGCAATGAAATTGGCTGTCTTGTGCATTTAGGATTGCTTCCATGATTGGGATAGGATTGGCCTGCCTGATGTTTAGCATGGAGACCACATAAACTGCAATACAGTGTGGTTATTTTTTTGTAATACGTGTTTTGTTTGATAATACGTTTATATACCACTTCACAGTGCTTTATAGCCCTCTCTAAGCGGTAAACTGCTTAGAGAGGGCTGTAGAGCACCATATCCCCCAACAATCCCGGTCCTCATTTCACCCACCTCGGAAGGATGGAAGGCTGAGTCAACCTTCAGCCTGGTGAGATTTAAACCGCCAAATTGCAGTCAGCCGGCAGTCAGCAGAAGTAGCCTGCAGTACTGCATTCTAACCACTACGCCACTGCAGTCATAAACATTTCTATTAATGTGCAAAGTTTATTAAGGTGCAAGTAACAGAGTGAGCTTCCGCGATTTGCCCCAGCTTCTGCCAACCTAGCAGTTTGAAAGCACGTAAAAATGCAAGTAGAAAAATAGGAACCACCTTTGGTGGGAAGGTAACAGCATTCCATGCGCCTTTGGGGTTTAGTCATGCCGGCCACATGACCACGGAGACGTCTTCGGATAGTGCTGGCTCTTCGGCTTTGAAATGGAGATGAGCACCAGTCCCTAGAGTCAGGAACGACTAGCACATATGTGCGAGGGGAACCTTTACCTTTACTTTATCTAAGAAATTATGTGAATGCTGAATCAACTAAAAAAAAAGCATGGGGAATCTTCCTTTTGTGTTCTTTCCTTCCTTGTATTTTTACAATGTCTTCTTTTTCCTAATGCAAGGCATGACTTGGGAAGGGCAAATGAAGTAGGATTACCATAAAATGCAAACCAAATAAATGTATAGCAGTGTTCTAACCAAGGAGCACTTTTGGGTACAACTTACCTTATCAACTTACAATTTAGTGACCGTTTGAAGTTACAACGGGACTGAAAAAAGTGACTTCCGATCATTTTTCACCCTTACGACTGTTGTAGCATCCCCATGGTCGCATAACCAGAATTCAGTCGCTTGGCAACTGGCATGTATTTATGATGGTTGCCGTGTCCCAAGGTCCTGTGATCCCTTTGGAGACCTCCTGACAAGCAGACTCAATGGGAAAGCCAGATTCACTTATCAACGTGTGACTATAGCAATAGCAATAGCAGTTAGATTTATATACCGCTTCATAGGGCTTTCAGCCCTCTCTAAGCGGTTTACAGAGTCAGCATATTGCCCCCAACAATCCGGGTCCTCATTTTACCCACCTCGGAAGGATGGAAGGCTGAGTCAACCCTGAGCCAGTGAGATTTGAACAGCTGAACTGCTGAACTGCAGTCAGCTGAAGTAGCCTGCAGTGCTGCATTTAACCACTGCGCCACCTCGGCTCTTCGATTCACTTAACAATGGTGGCAAGAACCGTAAAATAAGAGTGACACTCCCTTAACAATGTCAGGCTCAATTGCAGTTGTACATCATGGACTCCCTCTAAAGATAAAAGGTAAAGAAAGGTTCCCATCGCACATACGTGTTAGTCGTTCCCAACTCTAGGGGGCGGTGCTCGTCTCCGTTTCAAAACCGAAGAGATGATGATTTGCTGGAATCTGCTTTTTCTTCAGATCCAACAGAGTGGAACCAACAGAGTAAAAATATACTGAGTCGCTGAATTTAGGGATTGACACCACTAGCATTTTGCCAGGAGAGGAATTTTAGGCATTGCCTGGGGGAGATACTCTAAGTAATAATTGCCCTTTGACCTCCCGGCATCCTTGTTTGCAACTGAGATTCTTCTCCACTGTCTCATAAATCTCCCTTGGGAAACCAAATCTTTGTTGCAGGACACTAAGATGGACTCTCGATTTCCTCTTCTTGACCACCTCTTTGATTCAGCCTTCAGCCAGCAAATTAAGAAAACCAGGCTACAAACAAATGACTGTTTTATCTGTAAGAGGCTACTCATCAGATATTTTCTAGTCCACTTCCCACAGCTTTTTCCCTACATTAGACCAGCTATGCCAATTACTTAAGAGTGATTTATAATAATTACAGCAGCAAAGCAGGATGCAAAAGAGGAGGCTGCTGCCATTAATACTCCTTTGCTTAAAAGAAACCTAAACAGGGTAAAAACAGCAAATAACGGGGATCTTGAGGGTTGTAAGTTGGCCTTCTCTTAGGACATGAGCTCTGGCAAATGCCTAAAAGGGCAACTGCTGTCTTTAATCTTATCAATATTTATATTTAGTTTCACTGGTTGCCCATAAATTTTATCCCAACGTTCCTAGCCACCGGCACATGATTTTAAAGTAGCAATCGATCAGAAACTTTTTAGTAAAAAGTTTGATTTAAGTACAATATGTATGTATATGAGTGCGTATAAAATTGCATCCATTATGACTTATATATTGTCTCCTTGGACAAGTCTTCTTCCAGAGGGAAGGAGAAGATAATTTTGAAGAGCAGGAAAGTGCCTTGAGCTCTTGACCAAATAAATGTCCTGGGTCTCAATTTTCAATCTTGGGATCAGATTTTGAAACAAAGCCCCCATGATCTAAGTAACATGCCAGTCAGCAGAGAGAGGGAGAAATTGGTCTATATTTGTTTATTTATCATATTTATACAGCTGTCGTGACAAAGATACTGTTCTGACCTAGGCTTCCCAAGATCATGAAGCAGACTACTTGTCCCCATAAAGCCTCTTTTATTTAGGTTAAAGGGAATTCCTCTCCAGCAAAGCCCCAGCCAATAGTGGTTCATAAGATTTCACAACCACAGACCTTGGAGAGTTGCCAGGCCGATATCTTCCAAACGCCAGGCTGTAGCAGCAATTACTTGGCAAGAAGTCAGGAAAAGATCTTCACCCTAATGAATGGAACTAATTGTCTCCTGCAAACTCCCCTCCACTTTCGCTCCTCTTTTATTTCCTCTGGGAGGGGCCATTCATTGCCCGCCTGTGGCCTTACTCCCAAGTCGACCCCTGCTCTTTAGCTGTTCCATTCGTCTCGCAACTCTGCGTATGCGCACACTGGGAACAGGCTCCAGCTGTTCTTCTGCCTCACTGACATCTGACTCTGAAGGCAGCTGATAACTGGCATACGGCTCTGGCCCCCTCTCTGCCTCTGACACAGAGCCCTCATCAGAGCCTTCCCCAGACTCCAGGACTGGCCCAGGTTCCTCCCCAACCTCCTCACTATCTGAATCTGCCACCTGGCGGGCCGCAACAAATCAAAGAGTTTCAGCTTTAACAGGATGATAAGGCCAATTTTTACCATGTCCTGATGTCTGTCCTAATCCCCTGCCAAGGTGGCGCAGTGGTTAAATGCAGCACTGCAGGCTACTGCTAGATCAGCAGTTCAGCGGTTCAAATCCCACCGGCTCAGGGTTGACTCAGCCTTCCATCCTTCCGAGGTGGGTAAAATGAGGACCCAGATTGTTGGGGGCAATATGCTGACTCTCTGTAAACCGCTTAGAGAGGGCTGAAAGCCCTATGAAGCAGTATATAAGTCTACTGCTATTGCTATTGCTATAATCTCAGATGAAGGAGAACAAAATGAAGTGAAAAACGCATGGACAATGCAACTCATCATATCTACAGCCAGTCCTTGATTTAGAGCAGCAATTGAGCCCGCAATTCCCATTGTTAACCAAGGCAGTTTTTCAGTGAGTTTTCTCCATCTTACAACCCTTTTGCCACCGTTGTTAAGCAAAACACTGCGATTGTTAAGTGAATAATGCAGTCAATAGGTGAATCTGGCTTCCTGCATTGATTTTGCCATCTGGGGAAATTGCAAATGGCGATTACATGGCCCTGGGACATTGCAATGTCATAAATACATGCCAGTAGCCAAGCGATTGAATTTTCATCACGCGATTATTGGGATATAAGTTGTAAGTATTAAAATCCGGCTGTAAGTCAGTTTTTTCAGTGCTGTTGCAATTCCGATTGGCCTCCTAAACGCATGGTTGTAAATTGAAAACTACCTGCACTCCAATTTCTTTCTTCCTTTTTTTTTTGCCTTCTGTTCTTTCGTGAATAGAAATAACCTTTACCTTTTATTTCTCCAAAGTTGCCTGATCCCATGGCAAGGAGCTTGTCTTTCCAATCTTTTGATAGTAGTTTTTCAATACTGGGGGTTTCTGAATGAAGAGAAACAGAGAGAGAGAGAGAAAAAAAAATAGAATCAACCTGACTGATAGCACAATAGAACTCATTAAAAGTCTATCCGCTAAAAAATAAGTGCGATCCCATCACGGACCCCAGTTCATAATGACTTCATCAACATGCTGATAAGAGGGGAAAGCATGGTTTGAAGGAAAAAAAAAAACCAGAATGCGTTTTGTCACCTGCTGTTTCAAAATCATTAGCTTTTCCTCTTTCTGAACAAAGCTCTTACCCTATGACAATGGGCCACACAGAAACCTGGTGCGTATTGTTTTTCAATTTAGAGAACAGGTTTCTGCTCATAATGGATGCTTGTCAATTTCAGGGTGTTAGCCTGCAGTTAAAAAAATATAATTATGTTGATAAAATGCACAGGGCGGGGGGGTGGGGGGTGAGGAGAGGGGGGGAAAAACAAGGCAAAGAATTAGCGACTAAATCTGCTACATGTAATTATATCCCTCGGTGTGTTTACAATTACATCCACTTTACAATGTGTTTAAACATAGTGTGGTGGTAAGCATGCTGTGGCAAGATTCCCCCTCCCTCCCCAAAGCCCAAACCCCTCTCCCTTGTAAAACACTCACCGCAAACAAAGTGTAGCAGTTGTAATAATAATCCAAAAAGAGCTCGGAATAGGAAACGCAGGCTGGGCAGTCCTTTGAATTGTATTTGAAAAGGGAGTTTCAGAATGTGTGAAGGTGAAAATCTGGCTTTGTTTGCAACTCTAAAGCTGTTCCCAGGTTCTATTCCCAGCCAAAGGCAGGAAAAGACATGGCTGCTTTAAAGAGCTGCGGATACCTTTTGCATCCAGGGTAATCTAGGAAGTGTTACATCTGCTTTAAAGAGTTGCAAACAAGAGACCAAGTCCTACTAAATGAAGTCCATCTAGAATCATAGATTCATAGGGCTAGAAAGGACTTAAGAGGTCTTCTCGTCCAGGGGTCTCCAGCTTCGGCGACTTTAAGACATGTGGACTTCAACTCCCAGAATTCTGGCTGAGGAACTCTCGGAGTTGAAGTCCACAAGTCTTAAAGTTGCCAAGGTTGGAGACTCCTATTTTTGTCTAACCCCCTGCTCAAGGCAGGAGTCATTATACCATCCCAATCAAATGATTGTCCAGTCTATTCTCAAGAACCTCCAATTAGTTCCAGGGATGGAGCACCCACACCAGTAGTAAAAAACAATAGCAACCCACCTCCATCTTTGAACAACCACTAAATGAAATGTACAAAATGATCTGTCTTAACTAGAAATTAGACCTAATATATCGTTGATTCAGGTTTATATGTAGCTTTTGGACAGAGCTGAAATCAAGTGATGCTCACCAGTGTTTTCAGAGTCAGAGAAGCAGAAGCCCACATCTGTTCTGCCAACTCTGTGTAATGTGTAGTTTGGTTCATTTTTGCTCATTTTTGCCCTCCCCAGCCCCCAGGAGCACTCTACAAGCCTCCTAAAGGCTATGCATGGCCATTTTTGCAAAAGGGGTGTGGTTTTGAGAGGCCAAAAAATGCTGTATTCAGTGTATAAGGCGCACCCAGATTTTCACCCTCTTTTTCTGAGGGGAAAAAGGTGCGTTTTATACTCTGAAAAATACGGTAACCTTTCCTGGTTTATCTTTAGTCTTTCAACCTGGAAATATCCATCCCACCAGGACGGGAAGGCACGGTATCTTACAGTCACATCAATTAGGGATCTACATCTGGTGGCCCCCCAAAAAGGTCCATTTTGGTGGTGGCCCCTTCTCTATGGAACTTCATTCCTCCTGAGGTACAGTTGGCCAACACCCTGTTGCTTTTCTGAAAGGCCTAAAAATGTGGTTTTGTCAGTGGGCCTGGGTACCACACCAATGGAGAGAGAGCCAATCAAGTGGCTGATTTGATTGTGTTGTTGCTACCATAGGGGAACGGGGTGGGGTTATTTATAGGTATTTGTTGTGGCCCAGCAGGAGCCGTTGGAGCTGCCACCAGACTCTGATAGCGAGGGGCCCTATGAGTCGGTTCTGGAGAATGTGGAGGACCCTGGACAGGGTTCCGACTCCGAGCAGGGCACAGAGAGGCTGGTTGGCCACCAGGCCTGAGCCTTGGAGCAGTGGGGAGGAGACAAGGGAGTTGGTCCTGATGTCTGCAGTGAGTTGTTCCGGATGCCGGGCACCGAAGAGCTAATAGGCGTAAAGAACAGCTACGCAGTTACA